AATCCGAGGGTGTGTCACGTTGTGAGGTTGATCTCCTGTCCATCAGCGGGTCAGGCGTTGTGTTAAAGTCACCAGCAACAATGAGCGGGGCATCATCCAGGAGGTTTTGAAGAAGGGTAATCCAAGAGTCCACCCTGTCAGTCGGGTCGTTGGGTGCATATATGTTGACTAGGTAGAACTCTTCTTCATACGCAACTTTGAGGCACACCCATCTTCCATGGTGGCGGTCATAGTCATATGAGATGGGCTTAAGTCTAGAGGCGAGTGGAAGCCAGATTGCCACACCCGTTGATGCCCTCTGTGTCGCCGGTGCTGCATAAATTGTGTATGGCCAGATCAATTTAGCTTTTGCTGCATCCTACGGTGTGTCTCGCAGGTGTGTTTCTTTGACACACACCGCATCCGGCCATCTGCCTGTGACCTGGCATTTCAGCATATTCTAAATAGCATCCTTCTTGTCCACCGATGCTTGGATTAGTCCGTTGACATTGAGTGAGCGGATATCTATATCCGCTCGGCCCAATTTCGCAGCCCACTGGGGTGGCTTCCTGACACGGGGAAAAACCGGCGGGGAGGGCGGGCGTTGCGGCAGTTGAGCGGTTGGCTGTGGCCCGTCATGCAATGGATGGGGCGGATGGATGTCCCGACTCTGGCCAGGCAGCGGTTCTACAGATCGGGGGAGCAGATGTCAGTCCGACATTCAATCTATGTACGGTATGTGTCAATGTGGCTGTTGTGTGCTTCAGTCCACTATCTTGAGTGGGAGCACAGCCAGGGAGTCATCCCATGTGTTATGCTCTTCCAGCACATTCTCCTCTAACAGGATCTACATGAATGCCAGAACCTTGCTGAGAGTCCAAGCATAATTCGGTCTAAACCTTGCTGAAGAGAGATCCATGAGTTGTTGGTGGGTGAACCACATAAAGCTCGTACCAGAGTTGGACTTTCTTGCATTAGGATCAATGAGCAGGATGACTGGCACGACACCTTTTGGGAACGACAGGGTCTGGGGTAATACAACCCCCAAGGCCCCCACCGTCCCAGTCTCAGCAATCCAGTACTTCAGCCTTTTAAGGATGACTGCCGTAGACGGTTTGCCCCTCCATCCTTCTAGTGTGAGGCCACCTTGTGGCACCGTGGCTCCGTGTCGTGTATCTTGCTGAGGAGGTCTCAGCCCTATCACCCACTCTCCTTTTTCCCTCACTCGGGTGAGCGGGATGATGACCACCCCCGGAGGCATTTCGATTCGTGTGCTTCCATCGTCTTCGAGACCCACCATCTCCCCCAGTTTTTTTGGGGGGGTGTCTGTGCCCGAGTCGCTGTCCGCGGAGTCTTCGTCATCATGTATTATCCTGACCTTGCGGTTTCAGTGGCAGAGCGGGGCTGCTGGCACGATTTCCATGGAGTGTTGTGTCTGGTGGGGGGGGGAGAGGGGGGGTGTGAATGTTCCTCATGCTGAGCGGGGTGCTGTATCGCAAGTGCCATTTGGCCCTTATCCTGGTGTTCGTTATGCTGGGGCAGCGAATGAAGAGTTGTGCAAAGCTCGTGAACAAGTACCTTTGGCCATGCGAGACATTTGTGGACGAATGCATCTTCGGGGGAGTCTGGGGAGTCTCACCGACCCCCTGTGTCGCAGACCGTTTTCCCCTTAAAGCGCATGTTGGCATAGCTCTCGATTTTGTCCAGAAAGTCATTGACCACCAGGACAATGGCTGCCCCCACATCCATCCAGTCTATGTCCGAGATGACCTTATACTTCTCCACCGTGGCCAATACCCGTGGACTATACACCAACACCCTTTTGGCCTCCCCCCAGAATCTGTTACCCAGTCTGTCTGCTGGTTTGTCATCCCTGAGCGAGAATATTTTGAAAGAGTCCAGTCTGTCAAGAAAGCAAGTTTCTGATGGACCTCCTCATTGGCCGAGATCGGAGGAGGGTCCACCATATGTGGAGGAGAACTTTGTGGCGGAGCTGGCTCCTCTTCCATCGAGTCCGGGGGAGGTTGAAAGTGCTCTGCCAGGGAGGATTGAGGAGGGAGGACTGTGATGTCCATGTCCGGCGGCTTCTGCTGTTCTTCGGTCCTATCTGGCGGTGCACTGGGCGGGCAGTCGGGTGCGCATATCTGTTGTTGTTGTTGATCCGTTTGTCTGACCATCTCCTGCTGCCAGAAAACCTGCAACAGATGCTGCTGTTGCTGTAAGACTTGTTGCTGTTGGCAGCACAGTTGCTGCTGCCATTGCATATGCAGGTGTTGGAGGATCTGTTGCTGGAGCTGCAGCCTGTCTTGGTACTGCTGGTGTTGGTATTGTGCGAGCTGTGCTTGCAGCAGCTTGTGGAAGTGCTCCTCACATTCTCTCCACTGCAGCTCTTGCATCTGCTGTTGCTGGTGGGCCTGTGCCTGTGTGTGTTACAACAGTTGAAGGTGCATATGTTGGTGCACTTGTTGTTGCATGAGGAGCTCTTGTTGTTGTCGATGCTGCTGCATCTGGAGCTGGTTTATTTGCTGGGCCCGGTCTGTCTGGAGCAGCCGGTGTTGCTGCTCAGTCTCCATTTGGAGTTGACATTGGTCATGCATCTGTTGTGGGGGGTGCGGCTGACTCTGCTGCCGAACAGCCTGTTGCAGTGGGGTCTGTGGTCTACCGTCCTCAGCCTCTAGGCCGGCCCCCTGAGCCGGCAGTTGCTGTTGGCCCAGGTCTTGCAAGTGCTATTGCTGCAAAGTTACTTGCGCGAGGTGATGGGACAGATGTGCCATGGAGTGTTGCTGCTGCAGCTCCTGGTGATCATGTATTTGTTGTTGGTCCGACCCTTGGAGTTGTTGGCTGTGCACCTGTTGTTTTAGGTGTTCATGTCCTTGCAGTACAGCATGTCCATCCTGCATGTCAGAGTCGTGAAGCACGGTACGTTGATCAGGCAAGCTGCATGGTTGTTGGCTATCCGACGGGTAGGGGGACAGCCGCTGCGGGCACTCCTTCCGTTTCGGGGTGTCATAGGGGTCCCGTCAAGCTCCGCACAATGCACTCTGTAAGAAATGTTTGATACCCTTGGCTGTGCTATGCTAATTGTGCAAGCTAAGTGTGAGGGAAGCTATAATGTTTGATACTCTTAGCCGTGGATATGTTAATTATGCAAGCTAAATGTGAGGGAAGCTGCGCCCCAAAAAAGCCTCGTACGGTCATACCACGGCTAATGCGTCCGATCCCATCCGGGCCGGAATAGTACTGGGATGGTGACCTCCTGGGAAGTCCCAGTGCTGTACCTACAAGCGGTTCAGCTTTTGGGGGCCAGAGGAATAGCTGCAAAACAACCTGCATACGGGGCAGGCAGAACAGGCATCTGTGGGGCAGTTCAAGTACGGATGTGGGGCAAACACATGCAAGCTTGCAGCACTGGAGGACGGGGAAGCACGGCATTGGCCTTCCTTGCACTGCCTCTCCCTCAAGGGGATTCCCACCAAACAAACCAGTGCTCAGACCCAGGTGTAACACACCAACCATTTCCAGCTCCGCAGCGTTTGCCCTGCCCTCAAGAAATACCCAACTCCCCGCCCAACTCCCAGGTCAGCTCCATCCCCTCCCACGCCATCTCCCACGGCAGCCCCACTCTACCACACCGTCACACATGCTTCTCCATCCCAGTGCCTTTTCAACCAGGGCTTCAGAGTGAAAGCAGGGAGGCACCACTCACACCAACCAGAACCACTCACTCCCGTTTGTGGGTCTCTGTGTCTGATGCTACCAGTCGCACCATAGCTGACTCGAACTTGGGGAGTGCAGTGGAGAAGGACAGCATGGTGCCGTCATACCACGGCTAATGCGCCTGATCCCATCCGAACTCGGAAGCCAATCGCCGTTGGGCTGGAATAGTACGGGGATGGGTGACCTCCTGGGAAGTCCCGGTGCTGTACCTACTACAGCCGGAAATCGCCGCCGCTTTAGAATCAACTGCCAGCCCGGGAATACCTGCCCGCTGCGAAACATGCATCAGCGTGTGTGCGGCAGGGACAAACATGTGGGGGCGATACGGAGGCAGGGAGAGAGGGGACAAAAAAGGGCGCGCGGAAGGGGAGGGAGAGGAGGGCATAGTGGGGGATTGGATTTGGATCACATGGGATTGGATGCACAGCAAGTAAAACACACTGTACTACGCCTTGGCTGCATAAAAGGACAGCACACCACACCACACAACCCCACTACAGCACAGCACAGCGCAGCACAGCACAGCACCAGCCACTTTGGAGCAGCCAGGAGAGAGGGACAGGGAGGGGGGCTTCGCTCTTTACTCGCTCATAATCCCGTCACGTGATGTGACGGCATTCCCAATGCAACACCGTCCATCCTGCTCGCCCTCCTTCCGCAGCTACGGGTGCACCTAAGGACGCTAAGGGTGCAGCTAAGGACGCACCCCCACGCTTGCCCCTGCAGACACACAAGCACTCGGGATCAGGGAAACGTCAAAGAAACACCCACCTACCTACCTCTCACCACAGCTCTCATGCCACCTGCCCGCTCCGCTCCGCTCCCCTCCATTGTCTTCACCATCATGCAAAACCGCCGCGGTGCATCCCCAAATGAGCACGCAGTCAGAAGAAGCGAGGCTTGCACACTTCCCAAGGGCACTGCCTCACCATCGCGCCACTAAAACAAAAAGAACAAAAAAAAAAACACTCAACCATCTGCTGCGCAGGATGATCGACAGAATAGAATCTTAATGCAAACCAAAATGGCAGATCCTGTTTATAGAAGGGGCCACTCTTGGCTTTACTATCTCTTTATACGTTCGAGGAGGAGGGCAGGATTTGAACTCGTGACACGTTTTTTTTAAGTTTCTATCTGTGTAGCGCTCAGCGAGTTACGTGTGACTCTGTGACTCACTCTCTTTTTGTAGAGATGGTTAACTATAGCAGAGGGAGTAACTACAAAAAGGCGTGTCACGTTTGACTGCAAATACAAGACCCTAACGACGCACAGAAGAAACCTCGACAAAATTTCAGACGCTTAGGTTAGCAATTGCAATCGTGTATGCTTATGCTTATGATGATGATGATGATGATGACGACGACGACGGCGATGATGTTGATGTCGCCATTATAGTAATGGCTATGGAGAGCGTCATCATTATTACCATCTTTGCGATCCTCAGTATCGACAGTGTGAAACCCGTCAGCGACGACATAATCCGCATCATCATCCTTGTTATTGCTCCGAGGGCTCGTTTCTTAATCATTCGGATCCTCAATTATCATCATCATCATCTTTACCATGGTCATCTTCATCATCATCGTTAGAGTGATTTCTACCAACATGGTTATCATTATCATAGTCATCATCATTATCATTGCCAAGATCGTTATCATCATCATCATCTTCATCATCAACCTCGTCATCATTCATCCTCATGATCTTCATCATCATTGTCTTCATCATCACATAGTCGTTTTCGTTAACATCGTCAAGATCCTTATTACCACCATCATATGCCTTATCATGATCGCCAAGATCGTTATGATCCTCGCTCCTCTCCCTCCCCCTCCCCCTCCTCCTCATCGTGGACCACCTTCATCATCACCATCATCATTTTTCAGGTCCTCGTCAATCATCGTCACCAGCATCATCCTCAAGTATCATCATCATCATACTCGTGTTTAGCATCATCATCATCATCATCATCATCATCATCATCAACCATGCCGATTTCGTTCACCGTCATACTCCTAATACTCCCCATCATCATCATCAGCAGCAGCAGCATCAGCATCAGCATCAGCATCATGATATCATCATGAATCATCTCCACCATCACTGTCATCATGATTCTGGTCCTCCCGATCCTCATAACCATCATAACCATCATCATCATCATCATCATCTTCATCATCATCATCTTCATCATCGTCGCCATCTTGATCATCGGCAAAATCGGTATGGTCATTGAACTGCGGTCATGATATCAACATCATCGTGATTACTTTCTTTTTCCCCCTTTTCTTTTTTTCTGCCACACAAGGAAGTAGAAAACGACATCCATAGAATCCAGATGCAATCAGCTGAACAGAGCAGAATACTGGTAGAAGAAAGCGACATCGTGTTGGTTTTTCTTTTTTTTGTTTGCGGAAAGAAAACGAAGAAGGGCCGATCAGTTCAATGATGCTGGGCCTCGCCACACCTATCCCGAAAACGCAAAAAAGTTCGGGAGCACTCCCGAACGCGGAAGATGTGGAAAAAACTTTCGAGAGGGCTCGTCGCCACACTGCGCTCTCCAAGGCGGCAGTCTCCAATTCCTCAGACGAGGCCCGACATTTTTTGGAGAGCGCAGACGACCGGCCTCGCCACACCACTCTCGAAATGTGCAAAATGAGAATGAACTTCCCCTAGAACATGGCCAGATGCACCCGCCACATTTTTGTCTTTTTCACCACCACTCCTCAAATCCGGTGCTTCGCAGTTTGGGCTATCCACAAAGTTCGAGAGCACTCCCGAGAACCGCATTCTTTTTTTTTCTTTTTTTTTTTAAAGCTATATTCTTCTCTCAATTTCACCTCACACTACCTACCTACCACTACTCCTAATTGTAGGCATACGGGGAACCCCGTAGCAGCCAGAACCACCTGCAGGTCGGGAGCAGCCCCCGCATGTTTTCTCGTGAACACGGTTCTGGAGAACCGCATTCTGACCGCTCTCCAAATTCTTTCTGACTGCGATTTTCGGGAGTTGGTGTGGCGATGCCACTCTCCAAATCGCTGTTTTGGAGATAGGTGTGGGGAGGCCCTATATCTCGAGGCCGTAGCCCTTCTTTTCATTCAAAAAAACAAAGAAAAAAGAACGGAAGAAAAAAGGAAACAAAAGAAATCTCTCTCCACCTGCCATCAGCCCTTCTTTTCTTTTAAAAAAAAACGGAAAAAAAAACTTTGTTCTCTACATGTACATGCATGCGCAAATGGAGGCCCGTGTACCCCTTTTCTCATTTCTCATTGTCGCTTGAATGGGAGGCGCGTGTACCCCATTTCTCATGCGCAAATGAAGGCGCGGAGACACATGTGGTTTGAATGCTACGTGATATGAATCGGCATGCAACCAGATTAGGCCAAAAAAAATACCGCTCGGGGGCTAACCCTTTGAAAAGACAAGGAAAAAAAAAAAAAAAGATAGTAGCTCATAAAACAAACACACAAGAAAAAAAAAAAAATTAAAAATGGAAATGCAAAGCACAAGTCGAGACACAGGGTCTCGCTGCACTACTCTAGACTCTCGAATTTTCGAGAGTGGGTCATCGCTGCACTTACTCTCGATCGGGAAACTCTCGAAGATAGAGAGCTGTCAGAAGGCACTCTATAATGCAACTCTCGAAACGTAGAGAGTCCCCCGCCTGCAAAAACGGAATTTGCAAGTGTCCTCGGGAGTTGCCCACCGACAGGCTCGTTTTTCGAGAGTGGACCTCCTGTCTCGGCGGCCAGACTTCGTCCTGTAGCGCAGTGGTGCAGCTCTTCTGTCGAGTAGAACTACCCCCAGGGTTTCGAGAGTTCACCTAGTATAATAGGTTATAGAGTAAGTGCAGCGAAGGCGGGTATTTCGAGAGTCTTGCCTCTCTGACAATGCTAGTCGAACTCTCGAAATATTTCGAGAGTCTAGAGTAGTGCAGCGAGGCCCACAAACAAGTGTGATTGAAACAAAAAACCTCGTTGCCCCTGAACTTGAAATTTGTGGACACTGTTTTTGTAGCCTTGGGCACTGGGCACCTCCGAGCCTGTTTTTGCCGACCCTGATTTTCACTGCGCTCCGAGTTTTGCCGAGCCTGGGTCCCACTCCATTTCTTCATGGTACTCTCACGGGAAGAACAAAAAAAAAAAAAAGAAGAAGAAAAGTTGCGGCCGTGAAAATTCACAAAACGAGAAAAAGAAACAAAGCTCTCGACGTGATTGCAGCTGTATACATTCTTGGAAGTGTTAGTGTGAGTGTGCCCTCAGTGAGGGCATCTCAGCCCCGTGGCCAGGTTGTCAGATTCCAGAAACTCRAAAAAAAAAAAAAAAGACAGGAACACGGATTCGGCCGTGAAAATGGCAAGATACATTCCCGGAAGTGCCAGTGTGATCAGGGTTACAATCCTCTAAGGGAACACAGCTCGAGCAGATCACGGATTCAGATTGTCAGATTCCAGAAGAAAAAAAACACGAAAAAAAAAACGAAAACACGGATTCGGCCTTGAAAACGGCTGGATACATCAGGGTGACAATCATCTGAGGAAACACAGCTAGAGCAGATCACGGAGTCCGCCCTGCCTCTTTGGCAGGGGGCACATAACAAACAAAAGAGAAATAGAAAAAAGAATACAACAAGTTCAAAATGTGACCGTCTTTGTTGTAAGATACATTCAAGACTGTGAGCACGGCCTCCTAGACTACCCTGCCCGACATCATTGCAGTACAAATACCTTTTTTTTTTTCATTTTTCTTTCATGCACGGGCAAAAGAAAACTACGATTTTTGGGACATCGCCGACCCTGTGTCCGACCCCCGAAAACTTCGGGTACTGGCCAGGACAACGTAATTTGGCGGGGGTACTGGTGTTTTAAAAAAAAAAAAAAAAAAAAAAAAAAGTGTGATTGAAACAAAAACAAAAAAACCCAAGAAACCAAAAAAAACAAAACGGAAAAAAACAAAAACGGTAAATTGAAAAAACAAAAGCCAATGGAGATGGACAGGACTGATGCAGACAAGCAACTGTCCTACGGCCTTTTGGATTACTACACTTACCTTAGGTCACCATCACTGCATATCAACGGTTGCCCACAGTTTTAGACACGTCAACCGTTCCCTCGGTCTTCGTCATTCGTCATTTCTTCGCAGCCCTGGATTTCGGACATCTACGACTTGCATTCCATTGGCACCATCGGCACGACTACGACCTGCACTCTCAGCCGACATCTGCAACGCGCGGCCTTCAGGAGACTACAATTTCAGCAGTTGGACCACAACACCGACCTCCTACAGTTACAGGCCATTGGACTCCGGCATGGGACCACCAGCGGGACGCAGGACATTCGGTTGGGTCTGAAATAGGACCAGGTTTGCAGAACTCACCCGGGATGCATTTGGACGTCGCCGGCCCGGACGGCACTGCTCCCACTGCCCGTGACAATATAACTCACCGGCCGTGCGGCAGTCAAGGCAGGCTGCTGGACCTGCTGGATCTGCTGGATCTCTCTGGATCCTCCCTCGCTCACGCGCCCTCCAGCAGCACTCAGCACGTAAGCAAACCTGCAGCCAGTCAAGTCACTTCGTCAGCCGGTCTGAGGAGAGTCGTTTCTCCTTCGCCAATTTTGGCCTAGGGCTGTCCTCAGCTTACAGCCTTCGGGACCTCTGTCCTCTCATCAAGTCCTCCTTCAGTCAACTCAGCGATCAGCCTATAGAAACCGGTCTCTCAGCAGGTCGTCCCACGGTCAGTTCGTGTCATTCTCAACGTCGGTGTCAGTCATCGGTCAGAGGTCAGTCCTTCGTCTTCTTCCCTCTTAAAGAAGTCGGCAATGAACGCGTCGACTGCTCGTCCTGGCGACAGGCCCCCAATTTCCCCTCTCTTTGTTGTTCCCAACTCCTTCACCCGCTCCATGCCCATATCAGAATGTTCCTGTTTTGACTCCGATCCTCCTCTCTTCCACCCCGCCCACCACAACCCTCCTGTCTACGACCTCTTTCTAAACTCCTTCTTTCCCCCGACCCTTGTAGCTAAGAATGATACCGTAATCTCTGGCAAAGCTTTAACAACCGAATTCAAAGCCTTAATCACTCCCCTGTTCAACCACACTGCCCCGCCTTCCATCCGCGCAGATGATGGTCTCCTCCGCATCTTCGTCTTACTAGATCCTCCCACTGCCTCCCTCCTTCCTCTACATCTTTTCGCTCTTCCTCTATTGCTGCCCACCTCCTTCGTTTCTTTGTAGAACGGGCTGGTCCACGAGAGATTCGGCTCCACCGCTGCAGTAGACGATCTCCTAGCATTTGCAGAGAGCGTCTCCTTCACCACCTTCCACAGCGGCAAACGTTCTTTCTTCTTCCTAAAAAGGAAGAAAGCAATCGAACTCCTCTCGCACTCTTTCTTCTCTAACCTCATCACCTCCCTCATTTAACGTGGGAACAAAAAATCTTCCTTTCCTTACCGATGTAGAGCGGGACCGCGCGAGGCTGGATCTCGCTATCTTTAAGGAGGAATATGCGCACGACCTTTGAATCCCCTTCTACTGCTTCGTCCTCTGCTTAGCCTCCATGCGGAGGCCACCTGTCAAGTTTTGGGTCACTTCAGGACGACGCAGCATCACCGAGCACCTCTCCTCTCAGGCGCTCTCCTCGGGATTCTTGTCGCCGCTCGCCTTCTTCTTCAAAGGATTCTTCACGGAGCTTACCAAGACGGACTTCTGCCAGCTCTTCCTCCACGCACTTATCTCCACCGGACCAGGGCCTTGGTTTAGACTCGTCAAGAACGCCATCTGCGACAAGCTTCCGGACTTTTATCCAATTCCGCAGGACCCAAGACAAGCCATACCTCCTTCCTCGCAATCGCTCTGCAAGCATCTTTTAGGACCACGGAGGGAACCTTCTCCTTCCCCCTGCTCGAAGAACTACCAGATTGATAGACATGGCGCCGAAAAGATCGTCCAATCCTTCTTCCTCTAGAAGAAGAAGATCAGCCAGGACCTCCGACTATGCCTCCGACCCCGATTCTCCCCCGCGTGAAGCTCATGCACCCATGCAATTCATGCTTCTCATTCCCCACCCCTCCTTTCGCACTCCCAGCCATCTAAACCCCCCCCCTCCCAATCCTCAGCTCCCGACCACTCCCAAAAACTCAAGAACTAGAAAGAAACCAAGCATTTTTCGAACCCTTAACATTTTCTTCCTCCTTTTTCTAATTCTCCTCCTCCTGCTTCATCTTCTTACCTTCTATCTCCTCTTCTTCAAGACTCCTTCTTATTCACTCTTCCTACCATCCCATTAGTCATTCTTTCCTCATGGGCAAGGAGGCTTTCC